TCATGCTGACTGGTGAAATTTTTGACTGACTGGTGAGACACCGCCAAATTTTTCAAGCCCTGTATATATATATATATATACACAGTATCTCACAGAAGTGAGTACACCCCTCACATTTTTGTAAATATTTTATTATACACAGAAGAAATTACACTTTGTATTATTACACAGAAGAAATTACTCTTTGCTACAATGTAAAGTAGTGAGTGTACAGCTTGTATATCAGTGTACATTTGCTGTCCCCTCAAAATAACTCAACACACAGCCATTGATGTCTAAACCGCTGGCAACAAAAGTGAGTACACCCCTAAGTGAAAAGCTACATACAAGCTGTACACTCACTACTTTACATTGTAGCAAAGTGTCATTTCTTCTGTGTCGTCACGTGAAATGATATAATAGAATATTTACATAAATGTGAGGGGTGTACTCACTTCTGTGAGATACTGTATATATATAGATATATAGTGCAATATAAATGGGTATATCTATATATATATCTGTATATATGTATAGGCAGAGGTTACTTTTAGTTAAAGATAGATAGATAGATAGATAGATAGATAGATAGATAGATAGATAGATAGATAGATAGATAGATAGATAGATAGATAGATAGATAGATAGATAGTTTGGTAAAACTAGAAGTAAGTTACATTTACCAATAATACAGAGAAATAAACATTGACATTATGGCTTTTGTTCCAGTTTTATCAAGAAGTGAAGGTATGGTGGCTTTTTGGTTTTTACTTCTGCCTTCCTTTGGCCTGCACCGGAATCTTCTACACATTAATGTCCTGCGAGATGCTAAGCATGAAGAATGGCATGAGAATAGCGCTCAATGATCACATGAAACAGGTAGGTGCTTCCTTTACGACCCGTTGACACTGTAGTGCAATACGCAGTGACGCGTAATAGATGCGTTGGAACAATGTGGTGCTACTAACTTTAAATGGCACCCACTCTAAATGGACATGTGTTGCAGTGTACCATAATGCACGCTAACACACTACCTTGCACACCATAAAAAGTATATGCACCTTTTTTGGTGCATTTTGTTGTGAAAGGCAATCTATTTTAATGTATGGGCTGCCTTAACACAGCACATGTTAATTTGAATGCATTAACATACCTCAACAATATTAACCCACCAAAATGCTGTTCTGCTTATCAGCAGTTTTTCTCTTTCCCAATGTTGTATCCCTTTAACAATGCTGCAAGTAGAGAAGAATATCCATTGTTCTGAACCAGAATTCCAGTGTGTTCTTAACTTCCTGTTTGAACAGACAACACAGTAGCTTTACTGCACCGAAATCCCAAGAAATGTTGTCAGCCCTGCCCAGTTCTCCCCTGAACTACAGAATGACTTGCCCTCTCCTCATCTCTGTAACATAAGGGGATTCTATAGGCCAGCAGAGGGGAACAATGGCAGTGTATTGTCAGCACATGCAGGAAATTAGGAGCACACTGGTTTTATGGCAGATCGACAGGTATTTTTGTAGTTTTGTACTTTGTATTACAGCCTTTTTAAAGAGATAAAACATGGGAAATGTGCATGTATTGCCGATATGGACTGAATATGTTTTTTTGGTCATACACTTTAAGTAGCTTAGTAAACATTGAAAGCAAATATAAATGTGTTGTCTAGAGTTCCTTTTATATTCAGTACTTGAAACATCACAGCTTAAACCTAATTGGTTGCTGTGATACAGCGCCCCCACAATTTAGAAGTTGACCCCTTGAAGTCGACATCTGCCAATTTAGAAACCCTTCATGTAGATTTTATCAATAAGTATGCTGTGTACTCCTTGAAATGGTATATCATAGAGCAGCCTTCCCTTAGGTGTGCATCGAAAATGTTTGCACAGTGTCATGCCTTTCCATGGTACTGGCAGCTGTGAAGGGGGGCTCTAATGTGAATGGGGACTTCTTATGTGAAGGGGGGCTCTGATGTGAATTGGGGCTTCTTATGTGAAGGGGGCTCTGATGTGAAGGGGGCTCTGATGTGAAGGGGGCTTTTGATGTGAATGGGGACTTCTTATGTGAAGGGGAGCTCTGATGTGAATTGGGGCTTCTTATGTGAAGGGGGCTCTGATGTGAATTGGGGCTTCTTATGTGAAGCGGGCTCTGATGTGAAGTGAGGCTTCTTATGTGAAGGGAGCTCTGATGTGAATTGGGGCTTCTTATGTGAAGGGGGCTCTGATGTGAAGGGGGCTCTGATGTGAAGGGTGACTCTGATGTGAAGGGGGGGCTCTGATGTGAAGTGGGCTCTGATGTGAATGGGGACTCTGATGTGAAGGGGGGCTCTGATGTGAAGGAGGCTTCTGATGTGAAAGGGGGCTTTGATGTGAAAGGGGGGCTTTGATGTGAAAGGGGGCTTCTGATGTGAAGGGGCTCTTGATGTGAAGTGGGGCTTGTGATGAGAAGGGGGATTTTGACATGAAAGAAAGGGGCTTTGATGTGAAGGGGGCTCTTAGTGTGAGAGGGTGGGCTCTGATGTGAAAGGCAGGTTTCTGACATGAAAGGGGGGGCTCTGCAGTGAAGGGGGAACCTTTTTTATGTGTGCGTTATTGTGTGATGTCTTCCCTAAAATCCATACCAGACCCCAATATTGGTTAAGGGTCTGGTATGGATTTTAGAAGGGCCACACATAATTTTTTACATTTCAGACTGGGTTGCCTTGAGATCTTTTAAAGGGCGCTGTTACAGAAAAAAGGTTGAGAAATGCTGTCATAGAGCACTGTGCCTGTCCAATAGAAAACTCCATGTTCCATAAATTCTGGTGTCTTATTTCAGAGAAGGGAAGTGGCAAAGACAGTGTTTTGCTTGGTGGTGATCTTCGCACTCTGCTGGCTTCCTCTCCATGTGAGCAGTATCCTGAAGAAAACTGTATATGATGGAACAGATCCACACAGATGTGAACTTCTCAGGTAAGAGTCCGGCTACTCTGATGAATTTTCTGGAAGTACGGTATAATCAGGAACTTACTGATATACCACTTCAAAGAATTACAAATGTCACATATTTTGTTGAGTGATAACTCTAGCTTCAGCAGACTTACTAATTGTATAATCAAATAAAAACTGACAATTAAAGTTAAAGACATTTTATTGCAGTTTCTATAATCTGTGCAGAATATCACTGAGCTTCAATTAATTTACTACATTAGGATGGAAGTTATTATGGTAATCTACATGAGAATATGGTTAGCAGACCTGATGCATTTAAAGAAGCCTTTCAGGAAAAAATAAAATCCTCTATTATTGTGACTTACCAACGACATTTACCATGCTGTTGGAGAGTTTGGGGTAAAACAAGACAAGGGTTCTAGCCCTTTTCTACACTAGTTGAAACTAAGAAAAAAAATGTTGCTTGGTCATACACTTAAAACAAGAGGGATGATTGGTCTCTATGGGAAATGGTTCCAATTTTAAGCTAATTTTCTTTTTAACTGCATTATCCCCATTGATTTAAATGTAGATGTAGAGACAGTTTCTCTCACCAGTATATATACCTATTTACCTACGTGTTTCTTCTTTAGCTTTTTCTTAGTCATGAATTACATCGGGATCAATATGGCCTCACTTAATTCCTGTATAAATCCAGTTGCACTCTACTTTGTCAGCAGGAAATTTAAAAACTGTTTCCAGGTAAGCATTATCTTGTTTTATCTGCTGTGGCAAGCAACACAGCATGATCACCTCCCTGTCCCCTTCCCAGCCTGCTACTTAGACATTGAAAGAGCAGGATCACAGTGATGAAACCTTCACTCTTCTATCTTTTTCTATTTCCTTGTAATCTAATAGGAAGACAAATTCAGGTACTTAGGTTAACTGTACGCTAGACACACATTCTAATATACTTAAATAAAAAAATACCTAGCTGTATTAAAATGGCTATGGGAAGGAGGTAAGCAGCTGTGGAAGGGGGGCGTGGGGTACTTATGTTGGTGAGAGGGCAAGAAGCAAAAGTGTACTTGTCTGAAAGTGCACTTATCCTTTAAGGAAGGGCCCACTCCCTGATTTGAAACAGGGCTGGGAAAAAGCAGAAGAGGCAACCTTTTGGGTGCTGTGCTAGGGGGATACAGCTGGGGTGGAAGCCTCTCCTGCCCTTCCCCAGCATTGTGTAGGACCAACCTATCAAACTGAAATTTAGACAGTAAGAGCGCAATAGTTTTTTTAAACATTTTAACCTCCTATTAACCCTACTTAGTTTTTGTTAACTCCCTTATCCCCTTCTTTTTGTTTACATGTACACAATTTAAATTTGCATTTGTTTGTATTTGCAGCACCTAATTTAAAACATGCTTTGCACTCTATACACTCTATCTAGGCACCAGATCCAGTCCACAAACGGTCGCAAGCCACGGGTCTTGAAATATAACTCCAATCTTTATCGTGATCCAAAGATTTATATACACCATCATAAAGCTCCCCGGCGCAGGCGGAACCCTCTAACGTTTTACCGATAAGGCTTAGTCATTGAGGTACATCTATGACTAAGTCTTATCGGTGAAATGCATTAGAGGGTTCTTTAAATTAGGTGCTGCAAATACAAACACGCACCTTTTAGCCTGCACCTGCGGGATCTGTGCAGCATAGGCATAGCCGGAGAATCAGAGCGGTGAGACCTTTTGTGACTTCTATGCTTTGCACCAGAAACAGAATTCTAGGAAAATTACAGAATAAAATTTGTATTTGTGATGAATTTTAAACTATTGTATCTGAGCTCCCAGATGAAGAACACATTTTGATTTGATTGAGTTCTATTATGTTAATAGAACCTGAGAAGTCATATCTTTTCTGCAGAGGCACATAAAGCAATCTCTCCGATGTGCTGATTCAAAGGTCCCCAAATAAATACTGTTGTTTTATAATATCCTCATTCATTAATTAGTGGATAGAAGAGGGTGTTTGGATGACTGGAGATGGTTGATGAGATTTTTCAAGGAGCTTCAAGAATATTTTTTTTGTGTTGATCTCATCTGCTTAATGCAATTAAATTATACAGTTTTTCTTTATCTTGCAGTCTTGCCTCTGCTGCTGGTGCCACAGGCCAAGCCTCGCTATCACTCCCATGGATGAAAAGGGCTCTGGCGGGAAGTGGAAAGCTAATGGACATGACTTAGTCCTGGATCGCAGCAGTTCTCGTCTGACAAACAAATACAGTTCTTCCTGAAAACCAGATAATGCCACAATGGACCAGAAACCACATTTCCCTACCTGATCTTTGCCTACTGTATATATGATATCAGACATGGCATGAATGCCTTCTGAGCTGTATATATATATATGTATATATATATATATACACTGTCTACTTGTATGCTGTACTGAAGGCATTCAATCTGTTTTTAAGGTGGAAACCTGGAATATCGTCCGACCAAGTACTTTTTAAAAGGTCTCAATAGACGGGAAATTCACAATAAAATCAAGCTTCCTGATGGTTTTATTAAAATGTAATTTTAAGGACCAAGAACTGAGGTTATATTTATGTAATATTTATATTCTTGTGTATTTTTAAAGGGGTTGTGAAAGGGTAAATTCACACTGACCTGCACTTTTATCAGTCAATGAGTGCCATTATCAAGATTTGTGAGAATTCTGGTGTAAACAGAAAAGCAATTTTACTGGCTTTATTCAACAGCATTATAATGCATTAAGTGCACATAAAGGGAGACTGAATTAGAATAAACAGGTTGCATATAATCTAATCCTAGAGCTGCACAGCGCTGTCCTCTTTGTTACTTACTTCTCTAATAGAGACTGTAATGTCTTCCTTTATCCTCCCATTTATCGTTCCCATGATTGTGGTTCATTGTTGGGTAGGACATGAGCCCAGAGATAAAAAAAAAGAAAAGAAAGAAAGCCTGCACAGCCCCTTTAAATTAATCCTCAGCCATTCCCAGTAGATGAAGATTGTTTGTAAGCTAACACTGCCATTCCTATTCTTCATGTAACATAGTTTATTTTATATTGAAAGGCAATGGACTTCCTGAATGCCTGGTGTAACTGTGTCACCTAAATGACATTCTGTGTGCAAGTAATTATACATGTATTTAATGTTAGCCATGTTTAAAGGAAAACTCCAGGAAGTATCACTACAAAAGGGAGAGATATATAAATATGTACAGTCATGGCCAAAAATATTGGCTACCCTGCATTTCCGTCAGATAGTGCACTACTTTGCGTCCATTTTTGGAGTTTTGCGTGGAATGTGTCAGATTTGGCTTTTTTTTTTCTCCACTTATAGTGTCATACCAATACAAACAAAAGAAAACAACATGAGAATGCCTAAACATTTGTAATTGCAGCAATTTTCTGCAGGAAGTGGTGCATTATCTGACAGAAACGCAGGGGTGCCAATATTTTTCGCCATGACTGTATATGTTCATTAGACTCACTTACCACTACCACTACCACTATGGTGTCTTTTATTGGACCTAATGACCACAATCTTGGCCCCATAGACTCCTATTGAGGTGACAAATTCTATTCAAATAATGGCAGAGTCTGCACACAGCCAGCTAGAGAAATTGCTGCACTGGCATCAGGATTTTTGGCAAGTTGGAACTCAGAAAGGACAGCATAGGGGTAAGTGTGATAAACACATATCACCTACCTCCCGCAGTCTTTTTCAATGGTACTGTCTGAGCTCCTCCTTTAAAGTGTATCTAAGCCCAAAAGAAAAACGTAATATATTGCAGCTCAACAATTTTTAGTTGTGGTGGCTGCATTCGTTTTCTTTTTTTTAGACTTTTTGTCCTTTATTTTTACCTGCTCATCCAACCAGTAAATCTGTTGTTTTTCAGTTTCCTTTCACAGGTTAAGCTGTCCAGCAAAAGTGGCAGTTAGAAGGTTGATACAAACCATTTAATACTGGCAGGGGTGCTTACAATGGTCAGCTTTTATTCATTTATGTAAAACCTTTATCCAAAAGGAAAAAAAATGGTTGCTGTAACTGCTTACAAATTGTTAGACTTCGACTTTAATTTGTTAGTCAAGTCCATCGAAATAAGAGTCTAGCTAACACTACCCTCTCCACAGGGTGACAATAAAAGCCTAATAATGTAGCCATTGGTAAGCGGCAGTATATTACATTTTTGTTGTTGGGTTTAGATACGCTATAACCAGAAAAAAAGGAGCACTTACTAACTCTCATAGCAGCACATTTTAATAAAAGGAAACATACAGGTGTTGCTCATAGCATCTCATCAGAACCCCACTTACATGCTCTATCAGTTGTAAAGAACTGCTGTTGTCACAATGAGACAGTCTTACTACAACCCCACAGAGGGACCATGCAGTATAAACAGCAGCAAGTAAAACATATATGTAAGAAAGGTCACTGCCAGTGATTAGAGGAAACCTAGCATTATAGAAATACGGAGGTTGACCATGACCATGACAGTCAGGCAGTATTTTAAAAAGGAAAGAGTAATTTACTCTCATCCTCATAGATAGAGCCAACGTGTGACATTGAAACTGATTGGGAAGTGAGTGAACACATACCGCCGATCCGCTCACTTCCCGATCACCTCGCTGCAGAGAGCAGTGACTGTCAGTGAGCAACGGACAGGGGAGGAGGCGGGCACAGCTGGCTCTGCCTCTAGACTGGAAGAGCCTGCTGTCAATCAGCCAGCTGGGTGGATCTCGACAGTATATAGCTCTCGGGAGAAGGTTGTCCTTCCGTGACCCTAAAGGTCTACTTTAAGAGGAGGCCAGCAATGGCAGCCCACATATTTCTCTCATGAAAGGTGTACTATAATAGACAACTATCATAAACAAAGTATTTTTAACAACGTATTAAGCATAAGTATATAATTATAATTTAAACTGGATAAGTGCACACTGCCATAGATATTTAGTAATTGAAAAGTAAACCTATCATGAAAGAATACCGTGGGGGCGCCCTTCTGAACAGGCTAGTTGCCTAGTTATTTAGTTGACCCTTTGGCTTTGATTCTTTGAGTTGCAGATCTGGATGAGTAAAGTCAATCTGTCTTTTTTACATACTTGTCCCGGGTCGGTCACTCAAAGTTTTAAACCATATGGGTCATTATGACAGCCAGGTGACTAATATTTTCAGAAAGGTTAGTAATTGCAGCCTCCATGTTCCTCTCATGACAGGTTTCCTTTTAAAGAAGAGAAATACAGTTGCTACCTTTTAAGAAATGAAATCTGTGTGTGGATTAAAGCACACGTCCACTTGGTGTGATGCAAACAAATCAATTAGGGTACAGTTCAGAAAAAAAAACAGGCCGTTCCAGCAGGGCTGGAGCTTATTATTTGTGCAACTCCACCTCCAAGTTTGTGTTCAGTGATGGGAACAATATATTACACAGTTTTCACCAAAATAGTTTTTTTTTATTAGTTTTTTTTGTCCAGTTTCTCATATCTTGGGTAGATTGTCCGTTTGTTACATTTTATGATTAATCCTCCTTTCAGTTTATGTGTGTCACTTTGTTTTTTTAATAAACCCCACATTTTCTACCAACAGCCTTTTACTTTGTCTGTAAACCGTGTGACTATACTTCTACGCCTCTTCCTTTCAAATAATATAGCACAGTCTGCCTTGTAACCGTGACAGAGTGTGGACACTTAGGGGTCTGTTTATAAACAATTCACAGTCTTGTGAGTACATAAAATAATCCCTATTGAACTAGAGCTCATATGCAGTGTATGAAAACTAACTTTCGCTACAAACCGTATGCATGACATTCAAACAAAAACAAATGCTCTGAATATAGTTTCTTTGCAGGTCAACTGTAATATTAGTTAAATGCCACATTGTGGCCATTAGATGGCACAGAGGAGCATAGGAAATATGTATTTATTTCCCATGCTCCTCTGCTCTATCTAGTGGCTATAATTCTGTATTACATTACATTCAACCGGAAGAGAATATATACTAAGAATGTTTGCTTTTCCTCTTTTGCACAGAACAAACATTCACAGAGATTCACAGGGCAAATGGCTCTACCAATTGTCTATAAATAGACCCCTTAATGTGTATCCAAAGCCAAGAGATTTCTCATCAATGTTGTGTCTGCAGGACAGGAAGTAAATGTAAATCTCCCCAATGGGACACAGATGGCAACAATTATCTATCTATTTAAAATTAAATCTATTTAAAATGGGGGGGGGGAAATGGCTTTAGATATACTTTAATGCTAGATTTGAACATTTCTACCATTTCAAGGTTGACGTGGGGATGTGACACACCATGCCATGCCATGCCATGCCAAGACTGTATTTGTAAATGGTTGGAATTATATAAAATATATACTATAGAAGATTTAGTTAAAAGTAAAGCTAAACCCCTATTCACTAACAATCCAGGTATCAGCCGTTCCCAGATGATCCAGTTTGTTCTAACAGAAGCTTGTTTAGAACTTTAGTGAGTTTCATTTGAATGTAATGCATATGGTTTGTTGTGAAAGTTACTGTTCATTCACCCCATATGAGCTCTAGTTCAATGGGGATTATTTTATCTACTAAACAGAAGCTGCTGACTCACCACAGCCAACATTCCTCTATTACCTGAGAGGAAGTGCTCTACAAATTGAATGCGTAAGCATTTCTAGAGCTCTCTGCAGGCCTTTTGAAAAGCATTTTTGTGGCATGGTTACAACTTCAAATTGAAGAGTATTGGACTGCAAAGCCTTGATTTGCGCTCTAATTAAAACCTGCAGCTTTGCAGCGGAGAGCGAGGTAGTGATTTGATGCACATTTTTGTGCATTGAAAGTTACTCTTTGAAGGCAAGGGAGGTAACATAAAGAAAAGCTATGCATACTTTATAAACCATGCTCAGTTTTGAGTTTGTGTGTATGCACATATATATTGTACACTTGTGCTTAGTCCATCAATAAAATGGTTTATTCAGAAAGGCAGAGGGAAGGTTAGTAATGATGGGCAAAGGGGCAGTAAGTCAAAACAGCCATTATGTACTAAATTCATAAAAACTAGATTTTTGTACTTACCATAATATCATTTTCTTGGAGTCCATTGAGGGACACAGAAGGTGATATAACGCCAAGTTATACGGACGCCTACAAAAGCACTGAACACTGGCAAACGAAAAAAATGTCCCTGTATAACCCCAGGATGCCTCAGTTTTTATGGTAAAGCAGTAGCAAGCACATGAACAGAAACACAGAGTGGTGGGGCTGTATCACTTAATGAAATCCAAGAAAAGTATTTTAGGGCAAGTACAGAAACCCCATTGTTTTCTCATCCATTGAGGGACACAGAACTTTAGATACAGTAGGCACTAACAGGCCCAAA